ATGGGTTTCGGTAACACTACAGACAGTGCTTTTGCAGAAATGTTATTGCATTGTTCCTACGATGGAACTAGAGACTCCGGGGAGATTTTTTCGAGGTGAGAATAATTATTTGACTGATTTTTACTTGAGATCCTGAGATATGTATGTAAGCGATCTCATTTGTACAAGTCATTATTCTATAATTGAAATGCGTAAAGTAAATCAGTTTTGGCCAATATTGGTTATTTGTTTATATTTTATTTAGTGTTGAAGCCGAACAATTTCCTTCAACATCAAGTAAGCTTTGTACAAGTTTTATACACAGACTCGATTTATGATTTTTCAGTCTCAAATATTTAGCTGCAAATTTTCCAAATCTTTGTTTTTCTTTTTAATAGTGTTTGTGAATGACTATCAGAGTTCGCCATTTAACAATAGCGCGATTCCAAAACAAAAACAAACGACTGCAAAGGATCTCGGATGAAAATGGGCCTTTAAGGTTACCAGAAATAAAGTTTGAAATAAAGCTGACTTTCATTTGCATTATGAATACGAAAACAAGGATAGTGCCATGTTAATATTTATGACAGTCACAATCAACTACTATTCAGCATTCTTCATGCTGGCCAGTCGGTCGGAGTGCTTTTAAATTTCTCTTTACCTGCGGCGCTCTCACAAATTCAATTCTTTATTTCTTATGAGCTTTTCATAACGCCTCTTGGGTCACCCTTTTCAATTTTACCGATCGCGCATCGGCGGAAACCGAAAATTTCCTGTCTTTTTTTAGTTTACAACAAAGAGTGTTTTCGATACGATGGTTATATCAATTATAGCTAGACTGATTAATTTGAAATTTTTAACCTAAAAAACAGTTGCGGTTGTGCTGACTAGATGAAAACTGATTAAGTATAACATGCTGAACCTAAAGGGACAGACAATGTATCCTATAGAGTTTGTGGGAAGCCATTCAAAAGGTGTGAGAGCTTCGGCATATTGGCACCCTGACGCGATACCCAACAGTAAGGGTTAAAATAGCAAGTAAATTATTTAGCGTAATGGTAACCGAAAACACTAACGAAGGAAAAAAAAAGGAAGCAATCTGCTGTAGAAATTCAATTGAAATAAGAGTTCAGTGCTTTGGTGATACTTCATGGAGGTCATAAGGAAGAACTTTCCATTGTTAAAACATTGACGAGTTTCTTTGCTGATTAAAAGCAGGTGTTGCGGTCTAAATTAATCGCGGGATGCAAAACTCTTACGATTTTCCTTGAACATGCTAATGTAAAAACGATAAATTAACTAACATGAAAAAGGAAACTGTTCCAGTTGAATTTCCTTGATAAAAACCCACATTGTTTGAAAATGAACAGCTTGACAAAGGCTAGCAATGAAGTACCGTGCCTATTCAAACACTTTTTTAAACGAATAAAATCAAAATGTGTACTTACGTAAGAAATCATAGGAAGGTTAAAGGCAGCCGCAATGCGGGCAGAAGTATTACACAAGCAACCCGGTCCAATGATCGCTGCAACGTTACCTTCGGTCATCTGATGAAACAACCCACGAATGGTTACATCCTCATCCTCGCAAGAGGTGTCGTTCCAAATAAAAGAAATGTTTTGACCTGGTAAGAGATTCTGTTGTGAGTTTACAGCATCCACCGCAATACTCATCGCGGAAGCATAATAATTCCCTTTCTGTAGGAAATCCGCATCGTTCATAGGAATAAGCAAGCCCAGAGTGTAGTTCGCTTCAGTTCCAGACACAAGCATCAGCAATAACACTAAAGAAATCGTTTGCGCGCGTGTGGTTCGTTTTCGTGTCATGATTGTAGTCATGCCTCTGACACGGAGAAGTTTTAAAGCTTTCGAATCAAGTGCGGTTTACTAAATCTGCGTCGGTTAAACTTGCTTCATTTAAGAGATTGTAACTGTCGATGATGCTTTCAAAACGTCTTCAGAAACGCGGAAAACAAGGCCAGGTTGCAAAAAATACCAGTTATCCTGTTTTCCTGCTAGAACAGTGCAGTTGAATCATCAAATGCGTCCGGTGTTTATTTTACCGCTCTATAGGCCATTGCTTAATACTTCTTCAGCCGACGCGCTAATTCTCAGGAACTTCTGGAAAGGGAAATAAAAGACAATCAGCCACGTTTAAAAGAAAATGAATTACACTAATTGCATCATGGAACACCTACTTTCCCCCACAATCGATTATAATACATTTATCAGCCTCGTGGACAGGAAAAGATAGTGTTCCTGTTTGTGGATACAGCCAGAATTTATTCAGAGATTTGTTACGCTTCACGTTTTTGCAGCTACGCAATTACACAAGTACACATCAAAGGTAAAAAACACTTACACGTTAAAGAAAGCGTTAAAATTGGTTGATTAAAGCTTATCTCACCGACAGAGCACGTTAAACTGATTCCCACAAGCGTAACAAGAAAATTTTTTACATCACCGCCCAACAGATGACACACGAGACTGCATCAAAAACACGAATTGCAATTACACAAGTACATATCAAAGGTAAAAAACACACGTACACATTAAAGAAAGCGTTAAAATTGGTTGATTAAAACTTATCTTACTGACAGAGCACGTTAAACTGATTCGCACAGGCGTAATAAGGAAATTTTTTACATCACCGCCCAACACGTGACTCATGAGATTGCATCAAAAACACGAATTGCAGTTTCAAACAATTGCTTCCAAATCGGGAGCGCGAGTCACGGTCAAGAGAAAGCATAACCATTGTATCGACGTAAACGCCGTCAATAATATATGAAATTTTTAACATCACTGGCCAACACATGACTCATGAGACTCCATAAAGAACACGAGTTGTAGTTTCAAACAATTGCTTCCAAATGAAGCGTAAGTCACGGTCGAGACTGAGAAATCATAGCCATTGTATCGACGTAAACGTCGTCAATAATTTATGAAGTCAATCATATACTTGACTTCTGAATGATAAATGACAACTTGCGATTGCGGAAACCACAATCAAGAATTTAAACTTGCACAAGGATTTTACCCATGTCGCCTAGATACTGTTTGGACAATAGTTCTAACTGAGATACGATGAATAGATGAAGTTCATATATAACTGAGTTACAGAGCCACACTGTTGGGGTCCAGGAAATGTTCAGAATCAAAGTTCTTTAATTCAATATCCCATTCTACTTCCAATGCAAGTCTAAAGTGAAATATCAGAGAAATCATATTTCACCCGTAATGGGCCCCTAATGCTGCTGGTGTCTGCCGCTTCGAAGACTGTTAATTACGAGTTAAAAAACGAAAACTAGCAAACGAACAAAAACCAGACAAATACTTCGAGAGAGATAAGGAAATCCAAGTTCGGCCTGTTGCCAAGGTGATTGACAACTTCTCACCCCCTACGGATGCTTTATGGCGGATAATAGTGAACCGCTCGCGGAAAATCAACAAAAACTGGAAAGCAATTTACACATATAAACTTGCTGCAATGCATGGCCTAGCTCGCCAACGGGTGCCCTGTGGCTGAATCGATGAGAAGCCGACAGCAAAATCAGACCTGGTTCGTATCCAGCGACGGACTCAAATATCTCTTTCCCGCGTTCCAAACAAACTGAATGTTGAACATCTTTCGATTTTTTTGATCACATGGAAGCCTTTTGCATACGCTTGCTGATAGACTTGATCCTTATATTACATTAAGAATTTGTTAGCTGACTGTCACTGATAAAGACCCCTTTACGAAGATTAAGCCTACTTTTAATAGCCGATTCCGACTGATGGGAACCCCCCTCGATGCTGCGTCCCGGTGCAGATTATTCGGCATCTATATTAAATCAAAGTTCAAGGCTAAAAATGACAAATCAAAAAGATTACTGTAGAAGACGTAAATTAAACGTAATAGTACTGTCCTCGTGTTACATAAAACACAAATACGTGAATAATGGAAAATTGTATTTGGTTGAAATTACCTAATCAGAACCTATCCTCGATCGTGGATAGGCTATACGAAAACTTCACATCAATAAAAGAAAAACAAACTTAACCTCTAGCACGACCACCTCCGCCCTTCTCCAGACATTTCCTTCACTCCAGACCAACAGTTATATCCTTATATATATTTGTGCTCATTCTTGCCACCTTTAGAGCGCTCTTGCGATTGGCCAGTACCGAAATGCTTCTGGCTGAATTTCTGAGGTAGCTCCTGCTATCCCCAAATACTCCTTTATACTGCTTCCCAAATCGTGCATTAACAAAGGTCTTGTGGATATCAATAACGAAAACTTATATCCACTCGACTCTCATCTTGTTGATTACTATCCTCCTTTTAGAGTTTAATTCCTGAATTGCTTCTTACACCAAACGCTTTTTATTGTTTACGCTATCGATTAAGGAAGTCTGCCTTGCTAGTGACATTTGCTTCTGCCTTCGTATTGTTTCTTGCTTCCTTTTTCAGTGCGACAAAAAACATATACAAGGCTAGTAACTTCCTCGTGTTCAAGAAAGTCTCCGAGTGAAAACTAGTGTATCAAAATGCCCAAGTAGCCTTGCTTTGAAGGGAGCAGTAACTTTGCCGTCGTTCGAAATAATCATCAATAAAAAGACCGAGTTTCTGTGTGATGTAGCAGGTGTTTTAAAATAGTATTTGACTGCTGAAACGAATGCTTAAAAGGTTCAATACAAGAAAGGTCCCTTGGTGTGATCAAGTTAGAAATTTCTTTTAAAAAATGACAGTCCTTTGTAACTATACTTGATATTACAGCTACAATATTCAAATCTTACACGCAGGCATACTATGAACTACTTACGGAAAATTTGCAAATGAGTCTATCCGCAGACATTAATTCCCTCAAATCAAGCGAAAAACTCCGTATTGAAAATAAACGCACTTTCTTCAAACTGAAGATAAGTTGAAGGAAAATTTATAGAACAACAAAAAGGCTCATGTGATAAGTCTGTAATAAATTTACACTTTTAAAATCATTTTGTAAAAATGTACGTGTGCATTTATGTTTCAACGTAACATTTGTCATTCATTCACAGACAATATTATCAAACGATTGTTTTCTATGTTCGTTCGCATTACGCCTAACTAATAAAGCTAAAACATAAAAACAAGGACAGAAAACACTGAAATGAGTTTCCTAAGCTTTCCTTGGTTATGGTTTCTAAAGGATTAATCCTCAAACGACATTCTGGTTGGGCATAAACCAAACCAAACACTAGGCCTAAGTCACGCTATGCCTATCATAAAAGCCAGAGATGACATTTATTAGACTGTTTTGATATATTCCCATCTCTCTAAAAATCTGTCATCTGACAAGAGGAGCATTGCTCTGTTACTGAGTACTCACACATGCAGATCAAAACAACGAGCATTTTTTTGTGAACTGTACAAGGGGGATTATCAAATACTCACCCAATCTGAAGTCTTCCCCCTGAAAAACTGCAGGTTTGCAAAGTACACCTGCTCAACTTCCTATGCGTGCGACAAATGCTGATGAAGACCTGTCAGTTAATAAGAGGAAGTGTCAAAAGAGCGTAAGCAATGAATAGCACGGGCACGATCTGGGGAAGTGGATCAGCAATAATTTATGCAGGAGCGTGCGGTATAAAACATTAGGTGTAATGTTAAAGGTAAACTGCTTTCACTGGCCGATCACCCAGAGAGGGATTTGTTTGACGGTTGTGATTAGGCAACGGTAATTATACGTTAAAGATAAATGAAAACTTGGGCTTTTTAGAAGCTTTTAAAGAAACCCAAGGAGCCTAAAATGGTTTTTTTTTATTCATACAACAAAGCATTTCTCACTATTGAATCCATTTCACCTCTCATCAAATTTACCGAACACGAAGTCTGCGAAAGCCATGGTATTTATAAACCTACTGACTACCCTCGATATGAGCAAATATCAAGATCTGCTCAGTATTGGATAACAAAAATCTCACTGTAGTCTGTTCAAATGACTACATTTTGCTCAAGCAAAAATGAAACAGCATTCAACTAATCATTAAAGGCTTTTCCAGTTTTTATCGTTTACACAAAACCAATGTCAAGCTGAGAAATAGAAGTAACTATCCTCCCTATTCAATTCAATGACAGCTAGCGACACGAAAAGTAGGAGTCATCAAAATTGAAATTTTCATAAAGTATTTGTGTAAAACAGAAAAAAAAAATGTTTCGCACGGAATATTTACTGTGTAAACTAAAGCCTCCTGCCGGATTTTACTGTCCACAAATCAAAATAAGTAAACAAAGACGGGTTTAATTTGAAAGTGAAATCACGTTGGGTTTGTATCCTTAAAGAAACGAGTTTAAATGGGTATTTCCGTAAATATTAATCCAAAACACTCAAGACCTGTCAAAACATCAATTCATGGACTTAACCAAACAGCCGCTGACACTTATTCTAATCCTGCGGTCATTTCACGAAGGCAAACCAATTAAATTTGTACCACTGGTTTCATTAACAAAACGTTATTGCGCGGGCAAAGATTATTCGACAAATTTCCATGAAAAACGAGGTGAACCTTCGCTGCAACTTGTCCATGCCTTTCAAATGATCTTTCATTTTCACTTTATATAATTTTTTCTTTGAATTCAATTCACAATCATTTAATTCTTCCTAATGAGGCTGAACGTCTTTGTTATATACATTTTAAAAAAAACATGCGACGAATTCTGAAAACGCACGAGACGCAGTCAACGATACTTTCGTTCCCCCAAGAGTTCACATGAGGCTATGTTAACACTGAGAAATCCGTTTGTTTTTTAAAAAAATTTCGTGGGCATATCTAAGCATTAGAGCATGTTTAAGTAGTTTGAACTGCTGACTACCTGTATTTAAATCACCTTGCATTTAGTTACTCCGAAGTGGACCGTTTACCAACTGATGCAATAACCGCTATGGCATCTAAATCCAATCTCCACCGCACTGATAATTAAAAAATTTATCCAAGCCTTATGAATCTGAACAGCAGTTTGGATCTGAACAACAGTTTGGCGTATGGACTTCCGCAGGTAAGCCCTTCACGTGATAACAAAATTTCTCAAGGTCTACAGGGATCGAATATTTTCTTGTATATAGGGCTCCGCAGAAGCGTTTCACACATGGGAGCTCCGCTTGAAGAGATTTTTTCCTTTCTCTTTTCCGCCTTTGAAGATTGTGAACAATTTGATGCTCACTACGTGTAAAAATATCCTAAACAGGTCTTGCTTCTGTTGCTAATGAATGCTAAATAAAAACAGGATCATCAAAAAATCTTGCGATTTGAGCCGTTGTTACGTCTCTGAACTACTTTGATCAATTCCTCTTGTAAGCGTGGAAATATATCACTTTATCGTGAAATTTCATCTTTTTCATCTTCTGATTATTAAGAAGACGCTTAGGCAACATTTATCAATGATTAACATGGTAACTAAACTAAGTGGGAACAATATGCAAATAAGCAAGATATTGTCTTCACACGAAAAGGTTTCAACATCTGACTACCAAAGAACGGTAAAACAATCGAGCAAAAGTTCTTTGAATTGTTTCAACCTCCCTCGTGACGGGAAAAATCAACTGAGACAAAAACAGGGAATGTCTTGGAACATGCGTCGGTACTATTTATTTTTTACGCAGAAATTTTAACAAGTGTCGTATTTCACGAAATACATTAAATTTAAGAAGCTTTTAGCGTAACATTCGGTAATGTACGGCCGGTTTAACGTCATTGTATGTGTTATCAAATAACTGTTTGAGATCAAATAACGGCTTCAAAAAGATTATAAAAAATCGTTTCGTTCAAATCCGAGAACAGGAAATTGCGTCAACCACACAAATACATAGAAAATCAAAAATAATTCGCATTGAAAGGCATGATTCTGGATAAACAGACTTACTATTCACCTTTGACCACTCTACGCAAACCTTCCAGCATTTACTCAACGCTACAACTTGAGCCAGCGGAATAGAAAATAAAACTGATAGCTTTTTCACAACACCACGGATAATTTTCAGCTGCATATATGGCCGTTAATCAGCGTTTCTACAACAAAGACAGTCGAACGTCACTAAATATAATGTAGTTAAAATATCCAAAATATTACAACAAAGCACTTAATATTCGCAAAATACATGACTAATTTGGTTTGACCTACAACAAACTTTTTCGTTGAAGATTCAACATATGTTTAATATTATCTCTAACGTTTTGTACCTGCAATTTGTTGACGTTAATGGTTAGGAGATCCATTTTGTCTTATCTAGACTTAAACGAACGATAAAATTTGCTAGGTATGGAAATTGCACTTTATCAATTGAGTGATTCCGTCTCGTTTCGAAGTACCAAGTGCTGCTTCCAAAAAAAAAATGGTAATTTTAGAACACGATTCCGAGATCAAGGTTCGCTCTCGTTTCGTTCTTTCCGCCTCAAAATGAGCTCTTAAAACACTTCAAATCAACCATGCTTAAAACATTCCTTTTACTTCCGTTTCAAGTATCAGTTACTGTTAGTAAGACGTGTACTAATGAATGGACTCATGCAGTAATCTTAAATTTCAAATCTCATTTCAATCTGAATTTGTTTTTTTGCAAAAGAAAGGTGGTTACGGAACCTTTGACTGCGTCACAGGTTTGCAGATGAAGCTAAGTCAAGACGGAAAAAGTACTGTCTTGGTTGAATAACAAATAATAATAATAATAAATATATATATATATATATATATATATATATATGTGTGTGTGTGTGTGTGTGTGTGTGTTGAGTTAATAAAATACAAAGGCTACGCTTTCATCCCTACAAGCTTGTTTCGTGATTACTCACTCATCAGGGAATTTCAAAGGCATGAAAGCGTAGTCGTTGTATTTTCTTAACTCAACATATATCGCGCTCTACTTCTATGTATCGTGCACTGTAACACCGAAAAATCGAAACGCAGTCTTCTTATATATATATATATTTTTTTTTTTAAATTTATTTTTCGATGAAGCTCGTTCACAGAACAGAGGTGCCTTGATAGAAAAGAAATTACTTAAAAATAATACTAAAAAGTGAATGACCATGAATCATTTTAAATAGAAAAATCAAGTCGAGCTTAGTGCTCTTAGTACGAATCTTTTTTAATGTTATCGTTTTTACTTATCATTATTAACATGTTTACGCTGCAGAAGTTTGTCTGATTTAGTTTCGCCTCCCTTTTTATCCGATTTTTAACGGGAGTACTCAGAGAGTTTTGATTTTAGAAACTTTCCACGCACATAGTCTAAGTTACGCACCCACAGTCAATAGACAGCTTTTCAACGATTTTTAGGCGTTAGTTTCATGACGATGGCATCTTAACCTTATAACATCTATAAGAAATTTTATTCTATTGCAGATTTAGTTATCTGTAACTAAATGGATATGAAACATGGTAATTAAGTTTTTTTTTTCCATAAAACAAACTTATCACAAGGGAATCAAAAATAAAGAAATGCATTAGTGCAGAAACTGCTTTTTTTTCATTTAGTCTAGACCCAACTCTTCACTCTCTCTACTAAGTAACAGTTTGGCGAGAATTTCGAAATGAACAATAAAGTACTCTATCATAATGCTTCTGATCGACTGAATCAACCTCTTACTGTGTTAACCCAAACAAAAACTTTCGTGTGGGTCCAATTCAAGGTCAGTAGACAAAACTGAGCAAATCCACCTACGGAAGTTGGACAAGAGTGTCACCATTCAGAAACTCGTCGCTACTGCTTAAACTGAAATAACTTCGGACTTTGAATTCACTCAGAAACCACAATCCATATGAATGTATATATGGCAGTTAGACGAGAGTGTCATTATTTGGAAACTCGTCGCTACTGCTTAAACTGAAATAACTTCGGAATTTGAATTCACTTAGGAACTACAATCCATAAATGAATGACTACATAGCACCATCTGGCATGGATAACATCATTTGAGAAGGTACAGATTAAAAAAAAACTTGCATATTTTTATCAGATATTCTGCCTGCTAAACACCAGTTTCAAAAATTGCGCATCGTTTCAACGCATTACCATATAAGATGTATCAAAATGATATATATGAAATGAGTACTGGCTTTTAGCGATTATAAAAATATCCCCTGATGGACTAACTCATGACATAATGCAAAGGCGAACACATTTTTGATACTTGCGAGATTATTTGCAGCTCACGGTAATATGATTATTTTTCCCGCGTCCAGAAAACTTTTCTTCTTTAGCGCCAAATCATTTCATTTCCTGTAACTGTAAACTCTTGATACGATTAAATGAATATATCTGTCGTCTACTTCAAGTTTAGACATATGGAAAGCTTCATCTCCGATTCATTAACTGCGTTAACAAGAAAGATTGAAAAACGCCGGTTCTACTAAAGCTAACCGCAAGCAAATTAAAAGAACTCGAAGGGAATAATAATAAAAAAAAAAAAAATGTGGGATATCCTCTGCACGAAAAGGAAATCGAGACATTTTCTGAAATAATTTTAAAATAACATAATATTTAAAACGC